CATCATTTATTTTACAAAAATAAAGCCAAAATGGAGAAGCCATGTGTGAAAAACTAAGTATGCCTTATGATTCAATAGCTTATAGAACCACCTTTAGCAGCAATAACTTAAAGCAATCGTTTTCTGTAGGACTTTCTGTATGATGCAAATGAAGAAAGGTAGATGTGGTTTGCTTATAGAGGGAGGAAATTTGTGTACTTTGGTAGAAAGTTTACTAAAGAAATGCATGTTGAAACAAGTGAAAATGATTGCATGCTTCAGCCTACTTAAACAAGGAAAAGGATTACCTATATCAGAAGAAACATAAAAGACAACTGAATACAGAAGGAATAGGTCACTAAAGAAGCTGGAAGAGACTGGGCAAATGGAAGTTGAATGAATATGAACTGAATACAATACTGAGTAACTGGCATGAAAAGAAATATGTTGAGGTGGTTTAGTCATATATAGCACATAAAGAAGGAATGAATATATGAATATATTAAGGAAGACTGAATATGTTAAGAGGAAGGGGAAGGCTAACAAAATTATGGCTAAGTGAATTTGATGAAAAAGAGAGAGCTGTTCTTTAAAGTACAAAAGGCAATGTGCAAACATGCCAGAAACAAGGATGATTTGCCAGGACAGAAAAGTATGGAGAGGTTGGTATAAACTAAATTATGCTCCTTTTTCTTATCTCATGCCTTTAATTTTCTGGTATGCTATTTCTTACTGTTTCTCTACTACATATTCTGATTGGGAACAGTGTGATGGGTATGTATGTACGCCCCAAAAGTTCCATACACACATATATATTCCACACAATGAAGCTTATTTAGCTCTCTTAACACAAGAATTAATATAGTTCTGCAGAAGCAATTAGCAAACACATAGGGCAGTGACTGAACAGAAAAAGGTAAGTATTTCCAGTGCTTCAAGGACTGGAAACATCTTTGTTTTTCTTTCCAATGAGAAACTCCACTGGATATAATATTTAATTTAAACATATATACTTAATTATTATGTATATAGCAATCTCATCACTCCGTAACATATTTTATGAAAAGGATTCAAAATATCTCTGACAGGCTTAGGGGCAATAAACATAATATAACAAGCCAAAGTAATTTTATTCTATTTTAGTCAGAAATGGAACTATGAATTCCTGATAATGTCACCCACACCAGTAATGTTGAAAGGTGAGAGAAGAAGCTAAGGGATTCCATGGTGGGGGTGAAGGCCAGTGGGACTCTACAGGCATAAGGGGAGCCAACTCATTTAGGAGAAGGAACTCTAAAATCAAAAACAAACAGTATAGAGAAAAAAAGAAAGAAACAGAATGCATCAGGTCTCTAGTATTGTACAGAAAACGATATTGATATGGCTGAAACTAGTGGACAGTCAGAATATAAGCTCAATGTGAGGAACGTATTCAGTATACTTTACTATGTGAAAGAGAACCTGAAGAGCTATAGGGAAGGTATAAAGACATTGTGAAAACTGAAGCAGGAAAAACAAAATAATTATAACAATGGGCAGATGGAGAATGGGAAAACTAAACCAAAATCCTGTACAAACAGCACTGTACAATGATAGAAACATTTGTAAAAAGAGAATATGCTCAAGAGTCAACTACTTTAGATACACAACATGCAGAACACTAGTTGTTAAACGGAAAAGCACTTGACTGGAGATGAAATTCCTGCTTAATTGTTTTAGGTTGCAAGTGAAGAGGCAATTAAAATGTCTATGTCAACAAGCATGGAATAAAACTATGTGAGCTCAGAGCCTGGAAAATATGGGTTTAACATAAACCTATATTAAAGAAATGGGATACAGAAGAAAACTAATTATCAAAATATTACATTAATTTCTCATGCAAACAAAAATTGGTTAAAGAAGAATATACAACAGCTATGCATGCAGAGAAATGCCAAAGGAACAGAAAGGTTTCAGAAAAGGCAGAGG